TCCTTTCTGCATGGTGAACTTGAAACTGCCTCCAAGAAGAAAATGGGCAATCATAAAGCTCACCTCATTGGTTTCCCTTTTCTCAGACATTATAGTCCTGCACTGCTCATTGGCTAATGTCTGAAAACAGTTGTTTGATATAGTTTACAGCAAAAGGCAAGTCTATTCCTAGTTCCTCCATCATGGCCAGAAGCAAAACTGTTTTATAATATTCTTTTTTTTTCCTGATTATAAATGTAGAAATGCTCCATATATAAATTTTGGTAAATATAGAATCTGTTGTATTATTCTTATGACACTCACAGTCATGAATTTAGAATTGTCATATGCCTAAGATATCTATCATGGAGGAACTTTGATTTTCCCTTACCTCATGTCTCCATGTCAGAGGGACTTTGCTTGAGTAATATCATTGGCCTCTCTCTGGACTTCCTTACTCATTCTGGGTAAGTTAAGAGGAATGGTTGATAGGTGAATTTGCAAGAAGGAATAGAAGGTTGTGGGCTAGCCTACTTGTAGGCTGCACTTTTAAGTTAGCCAATCTTTAGGTTATTTTTGTACTTTTTCTAAGACTAACAGTCAGAAAGAGCCGTTGATTGTCTCTGTCTGTCTATGGCTGAATAGATTTATAGAATTCAGTTCAGAGAAGACATTTAGAAGGCCAGGTAGCAGAAGAGGCGAGCAATAATGCTTAATTTAGCTGTTTGTGTACTGACACTGATAACTTTGAATTCTGTTTATCTATACTTACTGGCTTCTCAGTTGGTCCCAAATTTGGAGAAGAAGATAAAGGAATTATTTATTGTTCCCCTCAACTCAATAATATCACTAATATACATGTTTTTCAGTTAATAACATATCATATCACTTAATATTTTTAACTTTGTGGAATGCAAATTGTAAAGCATGTACTCTCAATGATGACTGGGGGAAGAGTAGCCAGAAGTTTAATGAAGGGTACAAAGCTGTCTCTCTAAGAGTCTTTTAGTCAGACTGTTTTCAGCTCAGCATTTCTTGATTGCCTCAAATCTAATTTCCAGCTATCTAAACTGGGTCCTTCAGGCTCTCTACCAACTGGTAGATTGAGGCGCATATCACATCTGCTGCCTTGGTGCTGTTTACAATTATAATGCCTTGTGTTCTTTTCCTTAGAATGAGATGATGAGAAAGCAAAACAGAGTAGCAAGTGTGAAAGGAGAGAGAAAGGAGAGCAAGAGGAGGGAGGAGTAAAAAGAAAACAGATTTATAAATAACAGATACCCTATGAAAGGGCTACGTGAATGTCCTCTGTTTGAAGGAGGTGGTAACATCCTTCGTTTAAAGGATGTAAAAGGTGGAGTTACACTTGAGTAGAAGAAAATAGAGGTGGAAACAAAGATGAAAAACTGCATTGTCTTTGTGATCATATGTCATTAGTGTTTCTTATTAGGCTCTAGGTATTTTATTCTTGGGAAAATGTAATGTAGATACTTGAAATGAAAACAATAAAAATTCAATTTTAATAATGTTGAATTAAGTCTTTAATTCCTGTCAAGATACATTTAACATTAAAACTTTTTTTAGCAATAATATAATTTTAAATTATATTATTGTAATTTTCAATTACATATTCTTTCAACAAAGCAACCTTTTGGTTTATGTGTGTATTTTTATGAGTCTGCATCTGTATAGTCATGTGTTTATATGAGAGAATATATGTGTAGCTTTGCTATAAAAGGGCTTTTTCTGACCTAAATGCCAAATAGGGAAATATTTACATAAACCACGATTTTATATATGATAACCATGAGGACCATACAGCAATACATAGAAGCTTTCTTAGGGCTAAATAACACTGAAATTTTAGATCTCAGGAGTGATAAGTCTTGATTACAATATTATTATCTCTGTTTGTTTATATGTATATACATACATGTACATGCATATGATTTATATCATGTGTGCATTTCATGAGGGCAGTGATATTGTCTTTATTATAGCCACATAGGAAACCTTCCATATGTGATAAATGGAATTGTATAAAAGTTGGGCCGAAAAGTTAAATTTAAATAGTTGTATTATGCTGGAAAGCTTATTTGATTTTTAAAACCTGAAAGAATAAAGACTTGCTTTCTTCATTATAATTTTCTTTATTTTAAGATAAAAGGAAGACATGGTTAGCTGAAACCCTCTCAAGTATCAGGTTGACCACGGGTATCTTCCTTATGGGGTTAATTAACCTAAAATAGAGCTTAGGTGGATGATTTTGTAGTTTTAATGTTCCCAGACCATAATTTAAGGAAGAAACAATTAAGTCTTTAACCCTGTAATTTCACAAGATTCTTATTCTTTTTTGATCCCCAAAATCTCTTTCAAGAGAAGTGATAAAAAGATACGAATTCATTTGGCTACTGATTCTGCCATTTTTTTCTAGAAAATAAGAGAACATCTTTGCCTCTTTTGTCTCCTTTGAATTTTTATGTACATATATGTCTATAAGAATACATATGTGTTTATCATTTTTTAATAACACCTAAGTGTTCATTTAATATATTATTCATTTTTTAGAAGTAAAATGTCATGGGTTTAAGTACCTTTAAAGCTACATAATTAAATGCAATCTGCTGTATATTCATGAGTTCAAACAGAAAGAAGAAAAGTTATATTTTAGTTATAAATACTTTCTTTAGCTCTTTTCATTGTCTTCAGTTTGTGGGCAGAAAACCTCTACCTTCATCCTCTTTGGGTCCCAGCAGGAGCTAAGAATTAAATAGAAATAACAGATTAGCAGAGAAAAACATAATACAAGTTTTATGTGGCATGAGAGTTCTCAGAGAGAAAAAAATGAAGACTCAAAGAAGCAGTTACCTATATACTGAGTTGAACAAATAATAAGAAATTATGAAAATGTGACTAAATTATGTGGGGAGGCTTAAAAAGTAAGAGTTATTTAAATAAGGTTTGCAAAATATTCTCTGGTCTCAACTTCTCATCCTTGAAGGTAAATATGTTGTCTTTTCTTCTACTATAGAGAATGTTTTTCACATGAGAATTTCGTTTTCTGCTCTAAAGAAACAACACAAAGTTCAAAGTGATCTTGCACTTGTTTTTCTGGTGTCTTTAATTTAAATAATCAATATGCCGGAAGAGACTAACCTCTTTATCAGCATGTTTTTTCCAAGATGAATAACTAAATGATTGACTGAAGATTTTTTTATACTTATGCTTTCTTTTTGATTTTAAAGAAGTGAATGAAATTGTATCTGAAAGTATATGAGGAATGAGTATAGTGTTCCTGTCAGTCTACTTAATGCAATTTTAAGGTTTATAGGCAAGTCAATTCTAAGCAAAAAGAACAAAGCTGAAGGCATCATACTACCTGACTTCAAACTATACTACAAGGCTACAGTAATCAAAACCGCATGGTAATGGTACCAAAGCAGAGATATAGACCAATGGAACAGAACAGAGGCCTCAGAGGCAACTCCAGACATCTACAACCTTGACAAAGGTTGATCTTGATCTTTGACAAACCTGATAAAAACAAGAAATGCGGAAAGGATTTCCTGTTTAATAAATGGTGTTGGAAAACTGACTAGCCATGTGAAGAAAGCAGAAACTGGACCCCTTCCTGACACCTTACACTAAAATGAACTACAGATGGATTAAAGACGTAAACATAAGACCTAACACCATAAAAACCCTAGAAGAAAACCTAGGCAAAACCATTCAGGACATAGGCATAGGCAAGGACTTCATGACTAAAACACCAAAAGCATTGGCAGCAAAAGCCAAAATAGACAAATGGGGCCTAATTAAATTCCAGAGCTTCTACACAGTGAAAGAAACAGTCATTAGAGTGAACTGGCAACCATCAGAATGGGAAAAAAATTTGCAATCTACCCATCTGACAAAGGGCTAATATCCAGAATCTACAAAGAACTAAAACAGATTTACAAGAAAAAAACAAACCCATTCAAAAGTGGGCAAAGGACATGAACTTCTTTTCAAAAGAAGACATATTTGAAGCCAACAAACAATACAAAAAAGTGCTCATCATCACTGGTCATTAGAGAAATGCAACCCAAAACTACATTGAGATACCACATCATACCATTTTTAGAATGGCAATCATTAAAAAGTCGCTGGAGAGGATGTGGAGAAATAGGAACATTTTACACTGTTGGTGGGAGTGTAAATTAGTTTAACCATTGTGGAAGACAGTGTGGTGCTTCCTTAAGGGCTTAGAAATAGAAATTTTATTTAACTCAGCACGCCATTACTGGGTATATATCCAAAGGATTATAAATCATTCTATTATGAAGACACATGCACATGTATGTTCATTGCGGCATATTTACAATAGCAGAAACCTGGAATCAACCCAAATACCCATCAATGATAGACTGGACAAGGAAAATGTGGCACATATGCACCATGGAATACTGTGCAGCCATAAAAGATGATGAATTCGTGTCCTTTGTAGGGAGATGGAGTAATCTGGAAACCATAGTTCTCAGCAAACTGACACAAGAACAGAAAATCAAACACCGCATGTTCTCACTCATGGGCGGGTGTTGAACAGTGAGAACACATGGACACAGTGAAGGGAGCATCACACACTGGGGTCTGTTGTGGGGGACTGGGGGAGGGACAGTAGAGTTAGGGTGTTGGGGAGGGATAACATGGGGAGAAATGCCAGGTATAGGTCATAGGGGGATGGAAATAGCAGGAGAATCACCTAAACTCAGGAGGTGGAGGTTGCAGTGAGCCAAGATCACACCATGGCACTCCAGCCTGGCTGACAACCTGAGACTGTCTCAAAAACAAAACAAAACAAATAAATAAATAACTGAGGTTAAGACTTGTGGAAAGTGCCCCAAGAAGAATATCTGTTTCTTTTGAAAGCCATATATATTGCATATGGAACTTTCAACTGTTTACATAGTTAACGTTAATGATTTTTCAGTGTATCTAGCATGTCTTATTGTAGTGACATAAAATGTTATCTTTCTGATTAGACAGTGATCTTGGCAAGCTTTTATTATGTCTCAAAATATCTGATAAACAAACTGGATGGATAGAAAACTGCCGAAGACAGTTTTGCAAAATGATGAAAGCCAAACCTGATATAATCAGTGGAGAGGGTAAGTACATTGTTTCCATAGTGGGTTTTTGTAATCTATGAAAATTGTATTGATAGAATCTGTGATTCCTAAAGATTAGTATTGGCATATGTAGGAAACATAATGCTAATTCCAGAGGTTGGGTGATTTCTGAGAAACTTGGGATCCTGAGAGAACACAAATTAAAATCTGAGACACTAGTGAGCGTTTTTTTTTTTTTTAAACTGTTTAAACAGTCTTGGTAAGCAAAACTAGAACACCACGTCCACCCTAGGTAGCAATTTGCTTGGTTTTACCAGTTTTTACCTGTATATAACATATTGCTATATTTTTAGAAATTTTATTGATTTTCTAATCAACATTGTTATTTTGAATCACTTTCGTATTCCTCCAAGAAAATGTATTGACTCCTAAAGAAATTTTGTTTTAAGGGAACAGCTATGTTTTCTAAATTAGCAAACATGTTTATTTGTATTCAGTTATCTACTTGTACATTTGTTTTCTGAAATCATTTTTAAAATTAAAATTATTTATTTTGAATATAGTAAAAAGAAGTGCTAAGGAAAAAGCTCTAATGTCAATTTAAGCTAGATTTTCTGAAAACTGTAACTTAAAAGTATTGTTCACTTTATCAACACTGCTTTATAGTTTTCATATTTGTGTCATTTGTTCTAAAATTTAAAATGGAAAACAGCGAAAAGTTTTTATATTGTTGTTGGAGAAATATTTTCAGAGAATAATGATACATATTTATGGCTAAGAAACTAAACATTGTTCCCCAAAATTTGAGTATAAACTGAGCAGTTAAACTATGTTTTATCCCCCCAGATATTTTTTAAGTATCTATTCTAGGTATATATTTACCATTGATTGAATAATAGGGAATATTTAATATAAACTGTATCAGTGGACTCTACATACTAGTAAGAATTAAGAAAGCAGCAGATTGGAATGATGTTCAGTTTAAACACAATAACTAAATGTGTATGTATGTTCTGAGTTTATCTCTGTCTAACAAGCATAGTAAGACAAAAGAGATATATCAGCTGTTTAATCCTTATTCATTCCTCTGAAACAGAACAAACATGTAGAACATTACCATTAAAATTGTGTTCTCTTTGGGAATCTTGGTATCTTGGGGCACTGTCCACAAGTCTTAACCTCAGTTATTCATTTATTTGTTTTGTTTTGTTTTTGAGACAGTCTCAGCCTGTCAGCCAGGCTGCAGTGCCATGGTGTGATCTTGGCTCACTGCAACCTCCACCTCCTGAGTTTAGGCGATTCTCCTGCCTCAGCCTCCCAAGTATCTGGGATTACAGGCACATGTCACAATGCCTGATTAATTTTCATATTTTTAGTAGATATGTGGTTTTACCATGTTGGTCAGTCTGGTCTCAAACTCCTGACCTCAGGTGATCCACCTGCCTCAGCCTCCCAAAGTGCTGGGATTACAGGCATGAGCCACTACGCCCTGCCTATTTCTTACTTTGATACTCTTAAAAAATAGAGCCTAAGGGCTTCTTTTTTATGGAAACTAGTGCTGGGGCAAAATCTCTAACAAGCGTCAGGTGATTCTGCGTAATTACTCAATACAAAAATCATGATAAAAGAGTCCTCTTTTTAAAAAAGGAACATGATTTTATGATTTCTAATTTACCTTTGTCTAAATTTAAGTTTCTTTTTATTTTGCTCTGGTAATTTAATCCTATTGTCCCCTTTGTTTAAATTTTAGTGCTCCCAATTTTTAGGGTTTTCCTGTGTGAGATTCCATGGAGAATATAAAATGAAGTATGTTCTTCCTGTTGCTTTCCCTTTCTCATTACCAGTAGTATCTATTGGAAAGAGAAATCGAATTTTCCTTGACTTCTTCCTTTAGACCCCTGAATGATTCCTATCTTCCTAGTCACCAAGTCTTAGAGAATTTATTCCTAAGTATATCTCTGATTTCTTCTTTCTCATTCCTATTCTCTGCAACTACATTAGGTAGTCATTATTTAGCAACTGGACAATTATCTAATAATACATGTTTATTTTATGAAAATCAGAAATTATAATTAAGCAAAATAAAGAGATAAAACTTACCTATAATTTAATCTTTCATATATTTACTTTTTATATTTAATCAAGATCAGTCCTTATGAACCATACTATTTTATTCACTCAATGCAGTATTATACAGATGCCCTTCAACTTACAATGAGGCTACCTCCCAATAAACACATCATAAGTTGAAAATGCATTTAACAGACCTAACTTACTGAATGTCATAGCTTAACCTAGCCAAGCTTAAATGTGCTCAGAATACTTAAGTTAGTCTATCGATAGTCAAATTCAGCACAAAACTATTTTATAATAAAGTGTAGTTTATTGAATACTGTACTGAAAGTGAAAAACAGAATGGTTGTATGGGTGCTCAAAGCTGGAGTTGTCCTAGTTTTTAATCAGTTATTCTTGTGATGATATCTTAGTCTCTCAGGCTGCCAAAGGAAAATACTTGAGGCTGATCAAAGGAAAATACTTGATTTATAATCATTAGAAAATTACTTCTTATATTTCTGGAAGGAGGGAACACCAAGATCAAGGCACCAGCAGACTTATTGTCTTGTAAAGAATTGCTCTCTACTTCAAAGATGGTACTTCTTACTACATCCTCAAGTGGTGAAATAGAGGGCAGGACAGCTCCCTTCAACCTCTTTTATAAGGGCACTCATTCTTTTCATGGGGACAGAGTCCTCATGACTTACTCACTTCCTAGCAGCAAAACTTCTGAGTACTATCACTTTGGGTATGTATGGATTCTAACATAAGAAATTTTCAGGGATACTGACATTCAGACCATAGCAGATGGCAAGGCCAAAGGCGAAAGCAGAATCAACATCCAAGTATCCTTGAACAATCTGCCTTTAGTATTCCCTCAGCAGAAAAACCACATGTTCCTCTTAGTATATAAATATTATAAATTTTGGTTTTACAGTCTGTTTGTGTCATATTCCTATCCCAGGGAATAGATATGATTAAAGGGAGAAGGGCCATAATTTAAAACCCTCTGTAGAAATTTTAGAGCTGTCATTTAAAATTTAAAAATTCACGTTAGAGGAAACAATATTCTGTAGTTTACTTTCTGGATATTAACAGCCTAGAGTTAATTTATTTTAAAGTTAAGGATTGTTGTGTGACATGAATTAATTTCCTTGAGTTAATGGAATTTTCAGTGGGTTGACAGTGAGGCTGTTGGTCATACTGAGATAAATAGTCATTCTAGTAATTATGTAGTTCAGCTACACTTATAGTTGGTTAGAAAGATATACAAATGAGATGAGAGTCATAGGTTCAATTACCATATATGGATCAATCTTTAGCATTGTTACATGAATATAGCCTGTCCCTCAAAATATCTGAAAATACATGTTGCTGTTCAGAAGGGTTGCTGGACAAAATGAATAAATAGACACCAGTAGAAATCTAGAACCTTCTTGGAGTACTTTAGTAATGCCATTTTACCTATGCAATATAGAATTCGTTTTTCTGTAAACCTCTAATATGCTGATCTAATAACATTATTTTTGAATGTCAGTACTTGCCAGAAAATAGTGTGGCTTGCTATGCATGCAGTTAGTCATGTGACTCTTAAATTTCAAATTAAGTTGTGTGTAGTTCCCTCACAGATATAATGAATTTTCTATATTTCTGACCTAATCTCAGGCAAAGGTTTCAAAGAATTGCTTAGCAGTATTCTATATCTTTTCCCATTAACTCAAGTGCTTTACTTAAACACATAGTGTATAGCAAACATAGTTGTGCTAAAGTAAAAATAATTACATAATGTTTAGAGGAATAAAAGTGTCTATCTGTACTTTGTTACTAATGTATATTTTGCATCTTAGATTATTATCATTAAACTAAGAATGATTATATCTGCACTTCATCAAGACGTTGTTCTTTCTGCAAAACTTATAATCTCAAGAGACAGTATTAAGTGATTTATAAACAAAGAAGTTCATACACATATAATTTGAGTGATCTCACCTGAGGGCTGTTTTATTTGTTAATTCATAGAAGAAAGACCTTTGAAAGATTTTTATAAATATGGCAAAATTTGTGTCTACGCATGAAGATGGTACCAGTCCAAGCAGCTATAAACGTAAATAGCTTTCAATACTGATATCCTTTCTGACATTCACTATTGGATTCTTATACTTTTTTTTTTTTTAGATGGAGTTTCGCTCTTGTTACCCAGCCTGGAGTACAATGGCACGATTTTGGCTCACTGCCACCTCCACCTCCTGGGTTCAGGCAATTCTCCTGCCTCAGCCTCCTGAGTAGCTGGGATTACAGGCACGCGCCACTGTGCCCAGCTAATTTTTTGTATTTTTAGCAGAGATGGGGTTTCACCATGTTGACCAGAATGGTCTCGATCTCTTGACCTTGTGATCCGTCTGCCTCGGCCTCCCAAAGTGCTGAGATTACAGGCTTGAGCCACCGCGCCCAGCCGATTCTTATACTTTTAATACTCATTTAACTTTGAAAACATAATATGAATAGAGTTCAATGAATAAAATTATTTCATTTTTGTCCTAAGCCACTATGATATTATGAGATAGAGCTTGTCAGCTCTTTGATTTTGGACTTTCCACCCACTGAACACTAATTTTTCTTCAAGAATTATATGCTTAAAATGTACTTGTATGTGAAATAGGGTTCATTTAGTTAATATAGGCTTGGGTTGATATTCTGAATGTAATTAAGGGAAAATTTTACATAATGACTAAAGTGTACTTGCTATGTAAGATTGTAATAGCGACTCTACAAATTTATTTCTTTTCAGCAAAAAAAAAAAAAACCCTCAAACCCACAAGAAACTCTGGGTTGCATACTAATTATATTGTACAATATAATTAGTATTGTACCTGCTTATGTCCATTTCAGCGGTATTAGATGCAAGCATAGTGGCATTATCAAACCAGCGTAGAGAATAACCATTTTATCACTTCCGAGCCAGATAGGGTAAGCCTTCTTTTGATACTGGTTGCCTTGAATAGACATCATCCATTTGCAAAGCATATAAAACATATAGTATGTCCTGATTTTGAATGAGCTGTGCATTGATCCTAGCCTTAGAGCCAACTACTATTTTTTTTTGTTATGCATGAAGAATGAAGGTAAGGTATTGTAGCATAATTAGTGATACTTTTCTTTTAGTTTTGAAATCATTTAGCAAATTCTGAAATAATTCTTAGAGTATCTAATGATAACAGATGATTTCTTTTCAATTTTATATTGAATAGGTTCTCAACTAAGCTATTAAAGTTTAATTTGCATCAAAAACAATGTTATGAATACTAAAACAGTATGCGTTTGAATTGAACTCTCTTAGAGTGTATCTGTGAAGAAGTTCAGGTGACTTTTATCTGCTAGTTTTATGATTTAAGAATGCATTGTCACATATTATCTTAACCTTTAGTATCCTAATTATTCTCTTGTTTATTACAGCCTTAGTAGAATTACTTGAAAAATTTGTGCTTCATCTCACTGAAAGCCAGTCTGAATGCTACTTCCCTTCAGTGGAGTATACAGGTACATTTTAAACATTTTGAAGTTTGTATACCCAGTATACAAAGAGATAATTAGTGGAGATTCTTTCTTGAACTCTTTTTTTTGTTTGTTTCTATCCACTAGAAGTTGTTTTCCCTTAAGCAATGTCTTCTACTCTTCTGATTCTATCTATTATTCCCTAGTAGTCTTTTCTGCTTATACTATCTCTCATGTGTTGATGATTTCAAAATTTACATCTTTCACTTAAAGATCTGCTATAGGCTTCATTCTTATATTACCAGCTGCCTAATAAATAAACATCAACTGGATAAACCACAGAATCCCTCAAACCCAGTATGTCTAAGAAAAGATACATTTGTCTGGGTCAGTGTGATAGGGATGCTAGCCTGTGTCCCAGAGCATATACTGAGAGAGGCTAGTCTCAGCCCTGGCTTCTTCTGTGGCAGTCTTAACTGTGCAGGGACATACTGGATGACATTTACCCCTCTGAACTGAGACATGTGTTTCCAGCTTCTATCCCATGGCAGATCCCTAGGGTCCTAGCATCAGCTCTGGTCTCTTCTACAGCAGTTGGAGAGCTGTCTTCTTATTGCAAAGACCTCCTAGGAGATGTGTGCCCATCTGAGCCAGCATGATAGGCACATGAGGCTGCATGTTATGGTTGATCCTGAGGAGCCCTAGTATCAGCTCTGGTCCCTCCTATTGCAACTGAGGAACTACCCCAACTTGTGCAAAGACCTGCTGGCTTATACATGCCTGTCTGAGCCTATGAGACAGCCTATCAGCCTCCTTCCCACAGGAGATTCTGTGGGGCCAAGTCTCAACTCCAGTCTTCCTTATACCGAGAACTGCTGGGAAACACACCCATCTGGGGGGTTATAGTCATCTGGACTCTGATTCCTGGCCAGAGTTTCTGCATAGCCCCAGTGCTCTCTTTAGATCTTCCCTATGCCTTTCTAGGCTGGAACACTGTGTCAACCTCATTCCTTGCAAGACATGCAGCAAGCCTGGGCTTAGAGTGTTCTCTAGATGGGTACAGTTGTCATAGGCTCAGGGAACTAACTCTACAGAGAGTCTGCTTAGATTCCCTGGAAAGCCCTCTGGAAGGATAGGCACAAATAAAGCTAGACTGCAAAGACTGAAATAAATACATAATTCCGCAATGTGTAGGTATCATTGCATGTCCTCAAGTATTAAAAACATTCATAGAAGTATGACCTGACCAGATGGACAAAATGAGATGCCAAAGACTATAAAATGATGGATATGTGTGATCACACAAAGATTTCTAAATTGTTGTTTTAAGGAAGTTCAACATATTTCAAGAAAACACTGAGATCAATTCAGAAACTTATCAGAGAAATTTAATAGGCAGATTGAAATCATTCTTAAAAATTAAGCAGAAATCCTGGAGCGGAAAAATACCATGATTGAAATGAAAAACGTAATAAAGAGCATCAACAGAAGAATTGATTAAACAGAAGAAAAAAAATCAGTGTGCTTGAAGACAATTTGAAAATACATAGCCTGAGGAGAAAAAAGAATGAAAAGGAATAAAGAAGGCTTATAGGATCTATAACAACATCAAAAGAACAAATATTTGACTTACTGTAATTAAAGAGGGAGCTGAGAAAGACAAGGGCTAGAAAGTTTATTCCAGGAAACAATAACGGAAATCTCTCCAAATCCAGAAAAATATACAAATGACTAGATACAGGAAGATCAAAGGTCAACAATTAAGATTCCATTCAAATAAGAATACCCCAGTACAGATTAGAATCAAACTCTCAAAAGTGAAAGACAAGAGAGGATCCTGAAAACAGTGAGAGAAAGTAAGCAAATGATATACTAAGGAGCTCCAATATGCCTGACAGCAGATACTTTACAGGACAAGAATGAGTAGAACAATATACTCAAAGTGTTAGGAAAAAAAAATAAAAAATAAATAACATGTAAACCAAGAATATCATATCCAGTAAAGCTATCCTTAAGACATGAGGGAGAATAAAAGACTTTCCCAAACAAACAAAAGTTGAGGGAATTTAAAACTGTCAGACCCACATACAAGAAGTGTTAAAGGGTGTTCTTAAAATGGAAAGAAAAGGATGCTAACATGATTATGTTAACGTGATTATTTAGTTGTGGTATGTAAACCACTTATATCTTTACTAAGAAGACTAAAAGACAAACTATTAAAAATAGTAACTACAACTATTTGTTAAGTGATAGGCAATATAAATAATATAAATTGTGACATCAAAATTCAAAATGGGAGTAGAAAGGAATTAATGTGTATAGTTTTTGTTTGTTTTTGCAATCAAGTTATTATCTCTTTTAGATAACTCGTTATAACTATAGGAAAGTTTCATAACCCTCATGGTCAACACAAACCAGAAAACCTATAATAGATGGCCTAAAAAATACCAGTAGAAAAAAATAAATGCAAAATAAGAAAGTAAGAAAGGATAAAGGAAGAGAGGAATCACACAATAATTAGTAAACAAGTAACTAGTAAACTGGCTACTATTTATAATAACATTGAATATAAACAGACTGAATTTTTCTATTGAAAGATACAAAGTCACTGAATATCAAAACAGGACCTAACTATGTGTTTCCTGTAAGAAACTCACTGCACTTATCAAGATTCACCTAGATTGAAAGTGAAATAATAGAAAAAGGTATTTTATGCCAACTGCAGCCAGAAAAGGAGTAACTGTACTTGTATCAGATGTAATAGAAGACTATAAAAAGCAACCAAAAAGGTCATTGTATAATGATAAAGGGATCAATTTAGTGAGAGGATATAACAGTAATAAATATACATGCACCTAACACTGGAGCACTCAGAGTCATAAAACAAATATTAGTAGACTGTATGCAAGAGATTAACTGCAATACAATTCTAGAGGACTTCACACTACTTTTGGCCGTGCATGGATCATCCAGGCAAAACTATATAATCATTTCAATAGATACTGAAAAAGCATTTGATAAAATTCGGCATTATCTATGATTAAAAAAAAAACCAACTCTCAACAAATTGATTATAGAAGAAACATACCTTAACACAGTAAAGACCATATGTGATAAACTCACAGCTAACATCATACTGAGTGGGGAAAAAATATAAAGCTTTTCCATTAAGATCTGAAATAAGAGAAGTTGTCATCATAACCTTTTTAGTTGGTATCTCTACTTGGAGTCTGGTTTTTTTTCAAAGCTGCTCTTTGAAAAAGATCACTGCTCTCAGAGTGATCTTTCAAATGTAAATCCAACCCACTCATTCCTCTGCCATTTCTTACGATTGACCACAGCATAAAGTCTCAGCTTATTACCATGGTACCCATGATCTTACATTATCCTGCCCCTTCCTTTTTTCTAGCATCATACTTTCTTTCCATGCAGAATATTACACTCTTCACATCAATCCCAACTACCCCCTGTCCCAGACATTCATGTGTTCATTATTCAATAAATTTACTATATTAGGTACTGGCACTCTGACAGACAAAGTCTTGCCCTCTTGGAGTTTACTTTCTAGTGGGAAGAGAGAAAATAAGTAAAATATTCAGGAAGTTAAAAGGTATAATGATAAATGAGGAAATACACAGCAGAAAAAGGAGCTAGGAAGTTTTAGTTGGGAGTGAAGGTTACAGTATTAAATAGTTTACATATAAAGTTTTATTGATGATGTGGTTTATTTTTACCACAGTCCAGTAGGGGAAGTGCAGGCAAGATATATGGGTATTTTCGGGCCAAGAGTTTCTAACAAATGGCCATGAAGGGACTAATATGGCCAGAGAGGAGTAAGGGAGAGGAATTGGTCATGTTAAAGTCAGATAGGAGAGCATGATACAGGTTTTTGAATGTCATTGCAGGGTTTTGAACATAGGCATGACATGCTAATTTACATTTTTTAAGAGCATTGTGGCTGTGTTGTTCAGAAAAGACTGAAGTAGAACAAAAGACTGATGCAGGGAAATGAGGTAGGCTACTGAAAAACCGTAATGGCTCAATGAGGATGTCAGTAATGGAGATGGTGAGAAGTGTTTGGATTCTGGATATATTTTAAAGATGGGGCCAACAGAATTGGGTAACAGATTGAATGTGGGGCATGAGAGAAAGAAAGGAGTCAAGGAGGACTCTGAGCTATTTTTCTGAGTTACTAGGAGAATGGAATGATTGGACACTGAGAGGAAGAGGAATAGGTGAGGAAAGGGAGATTAGAAGCTGGCTGTTTTGTTGTTTTAGATACTTGCTGGACATTCAGGTAAATATGTTTTGTACATGCTGGGTATGTGAATCAAGTTTAGAGGAAAAGTATAGGCTAGAAATACAGGTTACTAATCCATCAGCTTGGTATATAAAGCCAATACATCTCATTGTAATTTCTTTCTCATATTCTGACTTAGTATCTAATTCTTCACATTCCTGCACATTTCTTTAGGGTTGTTTTTGTGTTTTATCAATCATTTTATTCTTTGCACCCAGAATAACAATGTCAATAAGTGCTTGTCAAATAAAGGAAAAAATGAAAGAATGACAGAGAAGGTTTTATAAAGTATGTCAATGAGTATCTTAATTTAATAGGCAATAGAGTAAACCATTCAGTATTTCTGAGCAGAAACTTTACTTGATTCATCTGTACCTTACAAAGATTATTTTATAATAGTAACTGTGTAAAGGAATAAATGGAGTACAGAAATCAAGTTTTCCAAGGATGAATATTCCAATACTTAAGGGGCAATAAATAGAAAGTGAAGAAAGCAGAGAGTTAGTGTATACTACTGCTAATAGATCATCTTTCCTGAAAGGGTGATATGACTTCTTTTGCTGAAGAAACCGTCATTCAAATATGTACTATTTATTCAAGTTAGATAAAGTATATTTTTATAAAAAGAAATTTTTTTTTAATGTATATACTTCCAGTTTGGTCCACTCTCTTTCCAGCCTTATTACCATTAACTGCCCAAACACATTCTGTGCATTTGCCTCACTAAACCTTTGCTCCTGTTGTT